TGTGTGTTTGTTTATATTCAAGACAACTCCTAGATTTTGCAGGATCCATCACAAAGTAAAAATGAAGTGTAAAGTTTCAAGCAGACTTTATAGATTCCAAGACTGGAAGGGACCATTGTGGTCATTTAGGCTGACATCTGGTATAATGCAGGCCATAGAATTTCCCCAAAGTAATTCCTAGAGCATATCCTAGAGTGATTTAAAAATGGCCAGTGATAGAGAATCCACCACAATCCTTCGTAAATTGTTCCAATGGTTAATCACGTTCACTGTTAAAAATGTATCCCTTATTTCCTGACTGAATTTGTCTAGCATCAGCTTCTAGTCATTGGATTATGTTATAACTTTCTCTGCTAGATTGAAGAGTCTGTTCTTAAATATTTGTTCCCCATGTAGGTACTTAAAGTGTAATCAAGGCACTTCTTAACCATCTCGTTGTTAAAGCTAAATAGATTGTCCTCCTTGTGTCTATCACCATAAGGCAGGTTTTCTAATCCTTTAATCATTTTCATGGCTCTTCTATTCTGTCCAATTTTTCAAAAGCCTTCTTGAATTGTGGACAGCAGAACTGGACACAGTATTCCATAACCTACGTAGTGTATCTTGGGATGGGAGATCTTGGCAGCTGAACGGTCCACGGATGCATGTCTCAGTGTATGTTACATGTCCCCCTCTGAGCCAAATCCATGTTACAGCACCCAAGTTACAGAGATTCATGCTGTCAGCTCGGGAAGTTCCCTGTTTGATCCCTGGTATGCTAGACAAGGTGGTGAAGACTGCAAGTGTCATTAGAGAGATATAGGAACTGGGGTGTGTAATCTGGGTGCTTATTTTTAATGAGCGAGAAGGGTCATACAGAAAGGGTTCTTGAGCCAGGAAGAGTTCTGGATCCCCACAGTTTGCCTTCCAAGGGGTGGAGGGCAATAGTGGGTTATTGGGTGGGAGAGCTATTAAGTATGTTCTAGGAGAGTGCTTTGGATAAAAGTGCTATATAAAAAAAATTCTTAATAATAATTAACGGTTTTTGTTCTACAAATAAAAGCACACAACTCATTTTTTAATATCAGTAGTCTTACCTTTCTAATGCGATGGATGTGCCCTCTCTCCCCTGCCATGGCAGCCTCTGAGCTGGGGCTGGAAAGTGGGGGGTCTCTCCCTCTCTCTGCTGCTGGGGCAACTCCTGAGCTGGGTCTGGGAAAGAGGGGGGGTCTCTCCCCCGCCACAGCAGTCACAGCGCTGAGGCTGGGAAGGAGGGCCATCTCTCCCCAGCAGCCGCAGCCCTGGCGTTAGGGAAAGTCACCTCCTTTTCTGGCCGCCGCAGCCGTGCATGTCCCTAATTCCCCCCCACCCCCTCTTTTCACGCCACTTCCCCCTCCCACCTACCTCCTATTCCTCCCCAAGGCCACCACCTCACCTTACATGTGCGTTTTCTCCAAGGTCCAGGCACCTAAGTAGTGGAGCCAGGCCTGTGCAGCTCCACTAATTAGGTGGGTTGCCCTTCATTGTCTCGTGTGCGGCCGCCCAGGTGCGCACCTTAGAGGGAACTATCCATGGACCACCTGAATGTCCACAGACCACAGTTTTTTGAGAACCTCTGTTCTAACCAATTCAAGAGTAGGCTCAACAAAAGAACTTTGCCTTGGCAAAAACAGTTACTTCAATGTGCATTGAGCTACTCTATGCCAGGGCTGACTTTTGTCACACTTTGAAAGGGCCTCTTTAATTTTTAAGTACACAAATATGTGAGTCAACCACATAGCATGTTAAAGGCCAATGTTCGCATTCACAGACCAGTTAGCCAGGTGCTTAACCACCAGGTTAACATGTGCAAATGAAGGATTGAAGAATGTAAAAGAAAATAAAGGCCCACTTGGGGCCCGATTTCATTAACTTCCATGGACTTCGGTCAACACTTTTAGTCTGAGGATTTGCTCAGAATGCCTTGTGTTAACTTAAAATAGCATTGCCCTTTCACCTGTACTATCTCTTACACTCTGTAGTTATCAGTAACATTGTACCTACATGATACAAAGAAGACTAAGCTATTATCTTTAGCAATGTGATTAACAGAGTCCTGGGTATTATCTAGGTTTGATACTCTTATCTGTGCATGATACTGGATAATGTTACACCCCTGTATTGCTAGTGAATATCAATCAAAAGACAGTTATGCTGCCCCTTTTATTCACTTTACTATGCATACTTCCATGTGAGACTTGGACATCTCTTTATATTTCCTAAAAGCAGCAGGTCAACCTGCTAAGGTGTCAGTTTTAAACTAACCCTATTTTATATGTTTTGTAAAAGCCTCTAAACATGGAAAAATCAATGATGTTCCTTCCTAGTAATGGGCGACCAAAGTGATTTTAGTTGGGCTTTGCCAACACCGGGATCAAACTCATTGCTTCCCAGTAGTGTTCATGTTACTGCTTTTTGTCATATTCCCTTTTGGGAAAACTGAGGTGCTCAAGCTAAGGCAGCAATTGATGTTGGCACAAAGAATGCAGCTCGCACAGATAAAGGAGACCTCCAGCACTCTAAATCTCTGACCACTTGACACCAGCAAACAACATCAACTCTGTTCCCCATTTTCCAGGGGAGAAGGATATTAAACAGATTTTTTTTTAAGACTGTGAGAGAAGCTGATTGGCTTCTTGAGCAACTAATTCTAATGTGACCTCTGCCTGACTGACAGAAGGTTCATCATTGCATACTATACCTGTCACCTCAATAATGTATGTAATCTCACTTGCAAGCATGGGATGGGAATTTGCACTTTGCAATCACAGGGCAGCTAACAACCTTTGGGTCCATTGCATTATAAGCACCTTCGATGGCTGCATACACAGATGACCAGTTATTGAAAATTAATACAAAATGAGAACTTGTATGCAAGAATGGCCTCTGACAAACATATATGTAGCACATTTACATAGCTACACTGTAGTGGATGGGGAGGTCCCTTCTTCCAGAGTAGGTTATGTGTTTCTTATGGGAATCATTTCAAGCTCTTAGCAACTAAAGATTTTGGAAACTCATTTATGAGTCTTACACCTGATAGCTAAAATTATGTCTTTATTTTTTAGACAGTTTTGCATTCCAAATAAATTACTCTACTCACTGCCTTTACTTTCAGGATCTAATTGTGTAGAGAATATATTATTTTTTAATAGATTTACAAAGCCTGGGAAAATCCACCTGGAATTTGTATCCAAGGTGGAGTTCTCATCAAACAACTTGTATTGTGCTTTTGTCAGCTGAAAGTTGGAATGGTTCCTACCTATTATCACTTGATTAAAGCACACAGATAGAGAATTCCTGATGAAAATCAGAAATCATGTGAGCATTTGTGGTATTTTGTTCTAGTTTCACAAGGATATAGGTGATGAAACCAAGAAGTGGCAGACACACTAGCATTGGCTGCCCGTATATTAAAAACAAACAAAGAAAAAACAAACCCAACCCCCCCCCCCCAGCTCCATCCCAGTTCTAACTAATGTTACTTTATTAGGATTGGAGTTTATGCTACAAATTGAATTAAGGCACAAATATATACAGTTCATTTTGTCTTTTTGAAGGCCACCTTCCTAACTTTCTCTTGTGATAAAGAAAACCATTTGCTTCTGTCAGGACCAGGAGGAGGGAGATCATTTTTATTGAAATAAGAACGAAATGATAGTGTCAGGCACTGAGTCCAAGAGATAAAATATTACATCTAATAAACATGCTACATATGGGATTAGACAAGGCCCCCTAGAACTACCGAACAAAAGCAACTATAGGAAAGCAATAACATTAATATTGAAAAGTAATGACTAAAGCTCCCATCATACTAAAAAAAATCTGCATTTTAATGAAAGGAATTTAAACAAAAGGAAATCAGGTGTAATATCAGAATGGTGTATTTTTTATATTGGGCCCAATCCTGAAACCTTTGGTTATGCAAATAGTACCACTGACCTAAATGGGATTACTCGTGTGAGTAAATGGGATTACCCATTGGGAGCAATGTCATAAGAGATTAAATGGAATCTTTTATAGCTACCGTGATGACCTTCAAAGACACAAAATGTAAGTGCCCAACTGCCATGGAAAGCCAAAACTTGTGTCTTTGAAAATCTCCCCTTTACTGTTTATTCACAGTAGGGTGACCGAAGTATGGTCTGCAGAACCCTAAATACAAGCCCCGGGGACTCTTCAGTTTGGCTTGCTATGTCTCAGACACAGAAGTGTGGCCAAAATAGGCTGCTATCTCATCTAACAGACAAGTGCTCGTGTTTGCTCTCCAGCTCTTATGACTTTACTTATCACCTTGGCTTTTTGTTCTCAGTGTTGGTAAACTCTACAAACAAACGTTGTTCCCCCCTATAATCACAATGGTTGTTTGTCCATTTGTTCTAAATTTCATGTAAATATATATGGAAAGTACATTGGACCGTGTTGCTTTTTTGGCAAACTTGTACTGCCCTCAGTGAGACAAAGATTGTCCACTACTGTTTGAAAGACCATGCTGGTTTTTACAGCAAATTGTTACATTTTAGAAGGAAATATGATCTTGTGGATAAAACACTGAACTGGACTCGGGTGATCCAGGTTCAATTCCCAACTCTGCCACAGACCTTCTGTGTAACCTTGGGCAAGTCACTAGATCTCTCTGTGACTCGATTCCCCATGTGTAAAATGGGGATATAATCCTTCATTTTGCTGATGCTTTGTCTATATTATCTATTTAGATTGTAAGCTTTTGCAGCTGGGACTGTCTCATAGTAAGTTTTACAGCACCTAGCACAATGGTCCTGATTGGAGTGTCAGAATGCTACTGTAATAATGATAATCATAATTAATAACACCTGACACCAACAGTACTTCAAGGGTATTACAAAGAAAGTCTCATATTGAAACTTATCTGTAATTTTATTTAGCTTTTATGTTACTATCAGAGAGCTTTTATCTTTTTTTGCCATGTGTGAACATGTAGTTAGTCCATACTGGTTATACGTTTCCAAGATAATGTAATGCAAACAAATCATATATTGTACAGAGATGAGTCAGACTTACATTTCAACTTGATTTGATTTACAGCCATCTGTGTTGCAATGACTGTTAGTCTGTTGAAATAATAAAAGAAAGGAAATAAAGGCTTTTAAAGCCACTGTGGGAAAGTACCTGTTATATAAGCAACTTTCAAATGTATGGGGAATAAAAAACGGTTAGCAGGGTTAGAGCTTTGGGAATGTAATATCTGATGTGTCCTTTGTCAGGGGACTATATCCTGTCCTGGCATGGGAATGGATTCTCCCTTTAGATCTCTTCCATGTCTAACTTTGTTATTATGCACACTCAGGCCAAATCAGACCTGGTGCAAGCAGATGCAGTTCCACTGAAGTCAGACCTCTTAGCAGATCGGAATTTTACCTTCAGTGTGCCTCAGGCAGCACAAATATAGACAACAGCACAGTCCCTGCACCAAGGAGTATGCTCCGAATCCAGAACTGGATCCATTTTCATCCTGTGATTGTGACAAAGGGCTAAACTGAAACCACTGATCTGAATGTTCCTGAACACTGGAGAGCTTGAAATTCCAATCTGGACATGAAATTTTCAGCTTGGGCCATCTATAACATTAATAAAGTTTTGTAGCTTTCATTCAAATACATTTTATGTGAATAGACAAGACTGAAGGTACTAGATCAGTTTTCCAGATCAAACAATAACATTTATTCTCCCCAAACTTTGCTAGGCAAAAAATTCTCTCTTCATCCCCACACTGCACCCTAACAACCAACCCCTTCCCCTGCATACTAGTATTATATTTTACCTACTGAATCTGGTTCCAGAAGCTACATCTTCTGGCACTCTGTTTTGCTGGGTGTTTTTGCTATGGATACACTCTGAACTCCTGGAATACCTGCTGCTCTTGAGAACAGATAACAAGGTAATGTAAGAAAAGATTTCAAAGGAGACACACAGACATGTTGTCTCATACCTTTTCTGCTGCTCATTATTTAAAGTCTGAGAGAGAGATGTGGGGGAAAAAAGAGCTCTTCACAGGTCCCACGGGGCTGCAAAGACATCAGCTCGTGAATATTTCACAAGTGTATCTCCGTCCTGTAACATCGCTGCATAGTCACCTGCAGTTCAAAGGTAAGGACAACAAGAAATATTGCGTTATTGTGACAGGCACAATAGAATATTTTTTGTATTTAAAAAACTTATTTGTTTTTGCATGCTTAACATTTCAGTGCCAATGACAGAAATTACAATCTAAATGCAAAATCTATTACTGCTTTCTGCAAATCTACTGAGTTTCCCTAACCTGTTAGCTGCAGTGAAGATTCTAAGGGATTGTTTGTTTTAAACTGTCTATAAATGGCAATTCTCCTTACTCCTTTTCTGTTTCACGATTCCAGATTCTGTATCTATGGATTGATCGTACTACCATCACATTAACTATAGAAGCAAGTCTTGAATATGCAGCCTGGTTGCATCCCCTACCAAGATTCCCGATTTGAAATAGTTTTAATAGGATTGTTCACAATACTATTTGGGCCCTGCTCTCTTGGATTACTTCTAGCTGTATTGTCTCAAAACTTTCTGGGCAGCCTTTCTGTTTCTGGTCACAAGTCTCTTTCTCCTCCTTTCCCCCCCCTGGCAAAACAAAACAAAACTCCTTTCCCCCTTCTCCGGTTGTGATTTCATTGAACTAGTGACCAGGAAAGAAACAGGGATAGCATATGGGAAACAGACAATAATGAGTTAAAATGTGAATTGCAAATTGCTTTTATCCATCTTCATGTTCAATATCTTCATCAACGACTTAGATATTGGCATAGAAAGTACGCTTATTAAGTTTGCAGATGATACCAAACTGGGAGGGATTGCAACTGCTTTGGAGGATAGGGTCAAAATTCAAAATGATCTGGACAAATTGGAGAAATGGTCTGAGGTAAACAGGTTGAAGTTTAATAAAGACAAATGCAAAGTTCTCCACTTCGGAAGGATCAATCAGTTTCACACATTCAGAATGGGAAGAGACTGTCTAGGAAGGTGTATGGCAGAAAGGGATCTAGGGGTTATAGTGGACCACAAGCTAAATATGAGTCAACAGTGTGATGCTGTTGCAAAAAAAGCAAACGTAATTCTGGGATGCATTAACAGGTGTGTTGTGAGCAAGACACGAGAAGTCATTCTTCTGCTCTACTCTGCGCTGGTTAGGCCTCAGCTGGAGTACTGTGTCCAGTTCTGGGCACCGCATTTCAAGAAAGATGTGGAGAAATTGGAGAGGGTCCAGAGAAGAGCAACAAGAATAATTAAAGGTCTAGAGAACATGACCTATGAAGGAAAGCTGAAAGAATTGGGTTTGTTTAGTTTGGAAAAGAGAAGACTAAGAGGGGACATGATAGCAGTTTTCAGGTATCTAAAAGGGTGTCATAAGGAGGTGGGAGAAAACTTGTTCATCTTAGCCTCTAAGTATAGAACAAGAAGCAATGGGCTTAAACTGAAGCAAGGAGGTTTAGGTTGGACATTAGGATAAAGTTCCTAATTGTCAGGGTGGTTAAACATTGGAATAAACTGCCTAAGGAGGTTGTGGAATCTCCATCTCTGGAGATATTTAAGAGTAGATTAGATAAATGTCTATCAGGGATGGTCTAGACAGTATTTGGTCCTGCCATGAGGACAGGGGACTGGACTCAATGACCTCTCAAGGTCCCTTCCAGTCCTAGAGTCTATGAATCTATGAATCTTGACTCGCAAACAAAACAAAACAAAACAGCAGCAACATGCATCCTATTACTTTATAAGATATCTATCATTAAAGAGTCATGTGTTTCTTGTTAGCTGATTCTGTAGTAAAAATTGTTGGGATTAGCAGTCTTGAATTGTTGTTCTTAGCAAATAAAAGTCATTTTGCTGCTATTGTTTCCAGAGATCTCTTCCGTTATAAAAACAATATAGTTGTTTAATTCCTAATATAAACACATATGCTGAATATAATTTTATATATATTATAGACTATTATAGCCATCATTTAAAACAGATACATTATGTATTACTGCTTTTGCTCATTTATTAACAAATGCAAATAGGCCAAATGTGTGTCAAAGGAGTTATACTTTTTTACACCATGGATGAGTCTGGCCCAGTGTGTTATACATGATCCCATCTACTGCTGTCTAGGGCTGGCCTTTGAGATACTGAAACCTACAGCCATAGATAACATCAGAATATAAGAATGGCCATACTGAGTCAGACCAATGGTCCATTTAGCCCAGTATCCCGTCTTTAGATAGCTAATGCCACATGCTTCAGAGGGAATATCAGTTATACGCACATAAGCTATATTCAGCTATATTCACATCTAGCACTAGATCCTGTGCGCCACTTAGGACTAAATCAAGAATTGCCTCTCCCCTTGTGGGTTCCAGGACTAGTTGCTCCAGAAGGCAGTTATTAACGGTGTCTAAAGTTATCTCTGCATCACCTTGACTGTGGGGAGGATCCCAGCCTGATTCATGGCTGTGGGAGGCAATGCTGCAGATCATGGTATTGCTTCTGCAGGCTTCCTCCAGGCTGATTGCCTGCAGTGACCAATGAGCGACCAATGTGATCTCTGGTCACAAAACGGGGCCACATAACAGTGGACAAATCAGCAAGGAGTAGTGGGGTTAGCTCAGGACAAAGCAAGGGATTCCTGCATTCTAATTCTGGCTCTGATACTGACTTTCTTTTTTGGTTTGAGTCAAGTTGTTTTATCATTATGTCTTAGTTTCACCATCTGTACAACAGGGACATCAATACTAACCTACTTCACAAGGGAGGTTGTAATGAATACCTATTTAATGTTTGTCAAGTGCTAACATTCACCAAATCCTTGCCAGAGGCCCAGTGGTCCCTGGATCAGCCGCTTATTCAGACAATTGTCCCTTGAAACATTTCTTTGAGGTGTGGGAGCTGTTCATAGACTCAGCACAAACATCATGGACTCAGCTTCTCCTGCAGCAGCAGGCTGGCAATGACCTGAAGATCCTGTCTCACACACCTCTTAAATGAGCCTAGTAAGTGCCAAAGTGTCATCTCATTAACCATCCTCGGGTTCCGCAGAGCTGTGCTCAAGGTGAAAAGCTGTTGGTTATATGTGAGAGAGGGGGTGGGGAAAATGGTTTTGCAGGCCCAACCAAAACCTCTGTCACATGAAGAGAGCTGCATTCTCTCATGTGTGCGGCAAGCTAGTGAATGAGCCTGCGGAAAGCAAGAAGTTAATTAACAATAAGAAGATTGATAAGAGCAAATTCAAAAGATAAAAAATAGAAGCCATGAATACAGGGCTGGATTAAGGCATAAACACGAAAAGCCTGCACATACGGTCCTAGGCACAGATCCTCAAAGCTCTTTAGACACCTCACTCCGATTGTGGGAGTGAAGTGCTTAAAGATCTTTGAGGATCTGGGCCCCAGCTCCTGGAATCAGATGGGTAACATCAGATCTCAGTTTCCTTAAAAATAAAAAAGTCTAGAACTCATGGTTGAAAGGAAAAGCTTGAAATCATGAACTGAATTTAACCAAAGCAACTGTATCTGTCTGAGTATGAAAATAGCCTGCAACAATAGCTGAGGGATATGAATGATCTCAATGTGGCATCAACTCTAAAACTCATTGTTCTGCCAACACCTCCCGCTTACCTCACCAAAAGGCTCTGGGTAGCAGAAAGGGAAGAATGCAATGGGTACATCCTATGCCCCAAGTAGATGCTCCTGACCATATTTATCTGCAAAATTCATTCCATTTTCTTATGCTTTTAAAAAAAAAGAAATGGCATCATTTAAAAAAATATAAACAGATAACAATAATCATAATTTCTAAAAAAAATTCCCCAAACCAGAAAATCCAGTGCTCCCAGCAATACTAACAGCTCACCTCTCATTAGCAACCCTACAATAATAACCAACAAGTGTAATATAAATACACAGTGTGGCAAAAACAATTTTTGGCAAGCAAAATATAATTTCTGTTTCAAGCTTCCAAAGAGTTATTATAAACATCAGGAGGATAAATAAAATGACTTTACAAATCTTGATAAATGCCTTGTTTATATCTTTAACTACCATACGAGAAGTAAAATGCACAGCTTGTGAACAACAACAAAAGCTCAATTTGGTTGCATTTGTTGTTACAAGGGGGGAGTCAATCCTCCTTGTGTGTTTCTATCTATATATGGAAAAATAAAATTAGCTATTAAAGGGATAGTTCCCAGATATAGGACCTAAATTACATTTACCATACCCTGATTTAAATGGGAAGAAAGGGCCAGGGGGGAAAAAAAGGACTCTCTGGTGACTTCTTAAAAATATCTTGCTTACACAGTATAGTGCAGAAAGGCATGTTAGGAGTTAAAATGACATTAATTCTATAGAAGAGATAGGAGTTGACTGTTTAATGGTCCCTGTTTAATGCTAGGCCACACAGACAAATGCTACTGTGTATTATCTAGAGACCTGTTAGGGAAGGAAAGATATTAATTGGTCTGATGCAAACTGGGAAGGACACATGGATAAGAAAGAATGAAATGTAGAGAACTAGCAGTAGTATCTAACTGGCTGCTCTGAGCATTAATTTTGGAGTGTTAGTCATTGCAAAAGTCTTTCTTGATTGGATAAAACATGTTTGGGAGTGTTTATTGATCCTTTTAGGGAAAAGGATCATTGATCTTTTATTATAAACTCTTGATTTATACTAGCCTAGGTTCATTGGCTCCTCTGGGAAAATGCTTCATTGATTGATTGAGCTCCAGGATTTTTGTTTTTTATTTCTCTTTTCCTTTCTTTTTCTTTTTACTTGTATGCCTGATGTGAATGAGCTAGATCAATGAAGAAACATTGAAAGTCCTTTAGTTGAAGCATTGTAAAATTTCCCAATCTTTCTTCTTGTCATTTAAAGAAATTTTTTTTTTCATCTTCTGCCAATACTAAACGTTGAGAACCTCTGTCCTTAGAGCACTGTCATAGTAGGCCAGATTCTGATTTCCAGATTTCCAGTGTAACTGTGATCTATTGCAAAACTCCCATAGACTGTAATGTGACCACGATTGAAAACAGTACCAAGCACATTGTCGTAGATGATTCAGACAGAAAAG